GTTAATAAAAGCACAAAAGTCTACTTGTGCAATGAAAGAAGCAAAAGCTCATTAATGGGGATGCATTTATTTCAGTACTAAAATGCTCTAGATTCAGTGTAGTTTTTACTGTACATAGGCTATTTATCAAGACTGTAATTTATTTACCTTTAATACAAATTCAGCTGTTGGCATGGTATTGGGCTCAATGATCCTTATGGGCCCCTTCCAACTTGAAATATTCTATGATTCCCTGATCAGCAGAATAGAGTCATATACTGATACTGGTTACTTCTCTTTCTATAGAAGAACCATCTGCAATGCTGTGAGCATCTTTATCACACTATAGCTCTGTTCATACTAAACATATCTGACAAAAACATAACAAATTAAATATTCCAGTATAAAATGTTTATGTAGACTAAGCTTGGAAAAGCCTTGGGAAACATCCAAAACAAAAGCTTCTTAATGTTGAGCTAGGGACAACAGCCTATACATCCCACTGGTGCAAGCCGTAAAGAGCAAGAAAGCAAGCAGTTAAGGCACACAGCTCACTCACCAGTTCCTCTTGCTAGCTGTAACTACTTATTTTCCTTCACTTACAGTTCTCATCTCACTTTACTCATTATGACCACCCAAGGCACAGTCTGGCATCTGGCCACACATTTGTTACATCAGCACACACATCCTCATTTCATTTCCCTAATTTCTGTATTAAAATTTAATACAACATTCAGGCAAATAACTAAATCCACAGACCACCTGCTCTCATATTTTCGTAACCAGTTCAAAGAAAGCAAGAGTATCTCTCAGCCAGCATCTGCAGGTTGGCAGAGTGCCTTGCTGCCATATACCAGCACCGATCACAGAACATATTATGACTGTAATGTTTGGAAACCATCTCAAGCACACGGCGATCATCAGACCACATCATGAGATCACCAGTCAACTGGATCTGAGCTCTAGACTGATGCTGCTTACTCTGTAGGGGGTACAGATGCATGGGTTGTGGTCAGGGGGATTAAAGGAACTGGTTTAGAAGGGGGAACTGATGATTGGTGTGTAGAAAAGCTGAGTGACTCATACGCTAGATCTTGTGCTTTCTACAGTGTAAGCCACCGGCCTGTGCAGTCTAGAAAGCCTGGGTCAAGGTTAACAGTAATTTGTGAATGATTGTCATCTTTCTTTCATAAGGATATGACTAACGCATAACATGTCTTGTAAGGAGCACTGGAAAACCTAGAGGTGATGGGCACTGTTCCAAGCAAGGTAGATTTTTTTTCCTTCTTATAAAATAATTGGCTGCTTTGAATTTAAATTGTCAGCTGCACAGTTTTGGTGTGCATCTGAAGGACCATCTCAGTAATTCCCAGTTTAACACTGCAAAACCTAGGGACTCGGTAGAATAAAGGGTAAGGTCAAGGCTGCCCATTCAGCTCCGCCTTGCTAACCCTCCCTCCCTCCTTAATGTGCACTGTGGTACAGTCATGCAGTCACAGTGTCCAGTCTTGTCCTGGAGAAGCCCAGCAGGACAGACAGCAGGGGCCAGCTTTATGGTACTTGTTCAGTAATAGCCCTAGGCCTTCGTTGTGCCACATCTTCCAGACCTGTCAAGAAGATAGTTAATAGTCTCATCACGGGTTTTCCAAGGATGTACATCACCACATTACCCATGCATATATAGGCCAGGACACTCTAACAGGAGGGAGAAGACCCTCAGGTCTGTGGGTGTGCATGTAGGTCTGTGGAAATATGTGCATGGCAGAGAAAAGTCATGCCAGCATCCAGGTTTTGCCAACTCTTCTCACAATCCTGCTGGCTAGGGCCATCACTTCTCCTGCTACATCACTGGACCAAACTTCCCTGCAATCCTCTTCTTTGATCCCTGCACATCTTGCACCCTCCACAAGAAAGGGGGCAAGGCTCCAGACAACAAGGTCTCTCCTGCTCCTCCATACACTTCCATCTTGTGCGTTGAACAAGCAAAGAATTTTATGTAGGGAAACCCACCAAGCGACTCCATGACAAAGACTGTGACTAGCTCGTTTCTGTGAGCCGGTCTGTGACTGGAGTTCAAGCAGCAAACAGGCATGTGCCAGAGCTTCCCAGCCACATAGCCCAAGGAAAGGCTGAGACACCTCCAGGTAGCACCCCTGCATATTTGTACCTGCTATGAACAATGTGTAATGCTCACAAAAGGCCTAGATGGCAATAAAGCCTCTGGGGGAAGGTGACACACTTCCAAAGATCAGTAAGTCACAGAACCAGTCAAAACAAAGATAATGCTGGAAAGGGAAACATTAAAAAAAAGCCACCAAACCCAAACCTGCAGGTTCTTATCTTCCAGACTTTTCAAGTGTAAAATCGCCCTAGCCTCTGGCTGTTTCAAGACTGCATGAGTCATATCCTTGTTAACTGGAATACTTAAATTGAGCTTGTTCAGCATTTGTTATGATGGAAGGAAGTTAGTAATAATAGGAAATGGAAAGCACAGGTCTTGTTCTTTTAAAGCTATGTACTTCACTGTTTTCTTAAGTGGTCTGAAGAAAATGCATTTGTCATCAGAGTGGCATGCTTACTTTTGCTAACCTGAATAATCTGGAAAATAGCAAGAAATATGCTTTATCTGTGTAACAGACTGTATCTGCGTACCTGTATGCATTTAGCAATTCCTTTTGTCATCTGAGTCTTTCACATGTCTTTCCTTGCCTACTGACCACTGGTGAATTGCCAGCAAGAGCCTCAGACTGCCCTGTTGTTTTGCTGAATTGAGCTGCAAGTTGTCACAGGCTGTAGTCAGAAGTTAGAAAATTGAATGTTCCATTAACGGTTGAACTCAAAGGCTGAAACTGGCTTCTAACTGTGAAATTACACATGTAATAATTACATATTATAAGTATGTGAAATGCACTGTAAAAACATCTTTGAAATAATGGCATAAAACTCTTTTTTACAGTGTTATGCCTACAATGGACCTAGCTAGAAGACCAGTTTAAGATCTCTCCTTAAATACCAGAAGGACACAAATCATATTGGCTATTTGGAAAATACAGCATAAATATGACAAACAAATGTTTTCTTAAAAAGCTTAATTTCAGCTATTGAGTCAGTAGAGCTATGCAGTTCGAAGTAGTACCTAGAGAAAAATTCAGCATGTCAAAATTGGAGATTTATTGAATATGAAAAAGTTTATCATTATTATTATGCTTTTGATAAAAAAATCAAGAGATGGATGATAGATACAGCAGTTACTTCTCAGAAGGCTGTTCTAGCCATTTTTACTCTGTAACACTTGAATGACTTTCTGTTTTTTCTGCATTTTAATTTCACTTGCCTATGAATATTTTTGGAAAATTCCATTTGTCTACCTTCCTGTCTTTGAATCCCATTTCCTCTGCTATTTTATCTTTAAAAATTTATTTTCACGAGTTACTTCGATTTTAATTCCTTGGTACTTCTATATGAGTTTTACTCATTTGGATTGCGATGCAATTTCTATGAGTCACTATTCTCAGGCACATGAGCATCCATGCTGGCAGTCAAATATATTGATACAAAGCAGTTATTTTTTACTTTCACTATAACTGAAAGTAGAAGGAAAATTCGATTGTAAATAGCCACACTCCAGATTAAATAAAAATGTCTGACTTCAATTAGTTTGGGATGTTTTAAGTGTTCCGTATTTATCCACGCTGGTAGATGGACCATGTCATGAATTCAGTGCCTGTACACCTGTAAAACTGTTTCCTGAATATTTCCATATTGTTCAGTATTTATAGGTTAGAAAAACCATATTCCCTAGCTACTCTCAAATCGCTGTGTATCACAAATAAGGTCCAGATTTTCTTCTCCACATGACTGTGACTGTCCCTCAGGTTTTTCCTCTGAGAGTATGATCTGTTATTATTCTGACATCTGAAGCATAATGACTACATTTAAACAGAAAATTTCAAGGTGAACACTGTTAATTGTAAGTAACGTTCTGCTGTCTGATCCATCTGCACCCAAAGCCAGTCTGTTAATGAAATAATTTTATGTACTTTGTATAGTTTTCCATGAATTCACTGAAATCATCAGACTGGCTGACATTTTCAAAGCTAGGTGGAAAAATCTCCAACTAAAATGACAAATTCATTTTGAAAATGAGAGTCCTCGTATTCAAAACACATAAATAGAGACAAAAATAATACATCCTAGATTCTGCAGTGTCCTGTGCTCAAAGCAAAGCCCTGAAGTCTGTACACGGTATGTTTCCCATCAGTGTAAAACCCATCCGGTGCTTTTCCAGCATTCCCAGTCTTGACATCCCGAGTGGCTTTTATTCATGATGGGTTTTTTCTGTTCAACTTTCACAAGATATAGTGAAAACCAGACCCTCAGATAACGATGAAAGATGAATAAATACAGTGTTACACCGCCAGCAGAGCATCCCAGCAGAAAGCACGTGCCTGGCGTGGGGATTTCCCCTCGTGTCTCTGCCGTGGCCGGGGTAAGGGAGCCAGCGGTGCGGGAGGCCCAGGCAGCCCCTGCCCCGGTGGCTCGGGAGGAGAAGTGGGGACAAGGCTGTGTCCCTCCTCGCCCGCTGCCTCCTCGCCCGCTCCCCCTGCACCGTCGGGCGCCTCTGGTAACGCGGAGCCCGTTTTCACGCCTGCGCTGCAGGGAATACTGTAGGTAGGCAGCACAGAGAGGTACACGGCAGCTTGTATTTTTTTTTTGAGTCCCCTTTGCCGCCAGAATGACTGGGGAACATTTTGGTACCAAAAGACTTCGCCGGCAATTGTTCTGATTAACATAAAATCCCATTTTTATAATAGATTAGTGACAATAATAAAAGCTAAAGTTCTGGCAGAAATCTTAAATTAATAGTTTTCAATTACTAAGACACATCTCAGTCCTAATGACACATCAAGTTGGATTCCAACCTCATGAAGTTGTAACAAGCTGCATCTGTCAAGCAGAGTTAAAAATACAGGGTGATTTAAGAACATTCAGAGCATAAAATGGCTTTTCTATATCCGCTTTTAATGAAAAAAATACTGTATGGATAGAAATGGAAGTATAACAAAGAATTTTCAGTTGATCTAGGAAAATACAGGGAAAATGAGAGCAAGTAAAACTAACATTTTACTTCCAGGCTATTTGTGTATCACGGAACTCCTGTCCCTACTTACAACCACTTATGTTTCAAAACTGACCGGAAAATAAGAACGAAGTATCCTCACAGTACTTTTACTGACATATTCTCAGTTGAAGCTATGATGGTAGTATGCACGTATTAATTTTTCATTTCTTGCACACCAAAAAGTACAATAAAAAGACTCAAGCTCTCTTTATGCTTTAAGAAGGAAATTTGGATGTCATCTGTTTCCTTTTAATTTCATAACTTGAAAATGATTACTGGCAATACACTCCAATAAAAAATAATTATGTTACTTCAATATTTAATGTGCAACTTCTCAGATTTTATACAACCATGTAAAGTTGACGTGGTATAATGAAGAATAGTTTTTATCAGTGAGGAGTTCTCTTTTAAGATAACTTCCAAACACTTTAGGCATGAGGAAAATAATTAAAAAAATCTTCACCAAACTAAAATTAACATACATGTATTCCATATATTAACATTGTCCCTGTTGTATGCCTTAGTATGGTCCAAATTCCCAACACAGAGACTATTTATATCATTTTCTAGTGTGTCCATATCTTCTTAAATTGGAAGAAATATGTTTAGAAAAGAAACCTGATCTACTAGAACATATAATGGGGATAGATTAACTTCAATTATGTTACTTGAAATAAAATATCCATTATATAATGGATGAAATATCCATTATATTAAGCTACTGACTGGCAAGCATTAAATCAAATATAGACTTCTACATACTCTGTATCTGTAGTAAAGTAATATAACATATTAAACAGACATTTATTTTAAATCTCTTCCCACCACAGGACCAATCCTGTATTAACTGCCTCACATAAACTAGTTCAGAGTTATGAGGACCCCTGTCTTTTTTGGTACTGTATTCTGAGCTTTTCCAGTTGCTCTACACACTGCGTCTGGGCCAGCTTCAGTGTTCGGTTCTCCTCTGTCAGTTCTGCGTACTCCTTAGCCAGCTGAGCAGCATCCATGCTTTCTTTTTCCACTTGTTCCAGCCTGGCAATCAGCTCCTTTCTGATGATTATGAAAAAAAAAAACAAAGATTAAAAATAGCAGTATGCAAAAATTTGTTGTCATGTGTTAGGTTAAAGCTGGCCTATAGGTTGTTAACATGGTATTATTACTTGAGATCGTGCAAGACCTAGAAAATTAATTTGTTAGAGTCCTGTTTTTCCCTTTAAAAGAGGAAACTGCCAAAATCTCTGATAGGTTTGCTGTTCAGTGACCAAACCTGCAAAATGCTGAGGACCTCCAAGCATCTCTAACTTCAGCAAGAATGCAACATGCAGTTCACAGGGGAAAATCAAGTTCTTGGAGATCGCATGCTAATATTTTGCCTGAAGAATAGCAATTTCTTTTTCTTTCAATACCAAGCATAAATGAAAGAGAGTGAGGGGTTTTTTGTTCAGTTGCTTAGCTTTATCAGTAAATTCTGTGAAGTACTCCTGGTTTCCTTTTCTCTCCTACAAAGAAAAATGGTTCTAGTAAACACCAGGCACATGAATATGAACTATATTGTTTCTATAATGCATTTATGCTCAGACCTTAGCCCTGCTGCTGACGAAGAGTGATAGAGCTGCAAACTTGACCTCTCCTGGTCTTTTTGAGAGCAGACACAGGAGGATTTGAGCTGTTGCTTCTTTCTGGATGGAGTCACACAGTGGTCTGTATTCCCAGAGCTGGCCAGGAGCTGGAGTCTCCATATAGTATCAACTGAAATTACCTCAACACAAGTTAAGATAAAAGAGGTCTTAAAACAAAACACACTGGAGGCATGAGTAACTCACAGGGTATCTAATCACTCTCCACTTAGTTACCCAGCAGGCTAGCTTGGCCTCTGCTTTTTTTCCCCTTTAAGTCAAATCATTTATTCACCCCTGCTAGAGGAAGTCTCTTCTAAAAGGTTCTTCATTCTTTTGATCATGCTATCTCAGAGATTAGTTAATCTTTAACTGTTCATAGCCCTGTGACTTTATTTTGTAGTCATGTCAAAACAATGCTTGTAGATCATCAGTGGGAAGATGTAAAGCCTTCAAAGTGGATAGGTTTTTCAGCCTTTAAAGGAGCCCTCTTGTCAAGCTAGACCAGTGCTTTCAGACAGGAAATTCCTACAGGTCAGTAATTCCATTGCCACAGGTCAGAGCATTCATGAAATGATAACATTTCAGTATTGGCAGATTACTTACATTACTTACAGCTGCAGAACTACCACTTACAGCAGCAAAACTGTAAGGACCTAGGTTTTGACAAATACTTCTATCTGGCCTTCTTTTAGAATCGGTTTGATCTTCCTCTGTCTTTACTACAGCTTTCAGTGATAGCACTGCTTGCCCACGGTTTAGCTTTTTACAGTCACCGTTACTGCAGTTCAAGGAGACACAAGTTTGAAGAGACCCCTGGCACACTCATTTCTCTCAACTGTGTTTCCCATACAAAAAAAAAAAAAAAAAAAAAAAAAGAAGAAGCGAAGAGCTAGAAGCCGTTACAGGAATTTTACATCATCGAGAAGTTGAACTACATGCAAACGTTCCCACAGCTAAATATGTTGGCTTTTTTTTATACCACTGAGGTAATGCCTAGCAGCTATGCTGCAGCAAGGCCTTTTTCCTTTCACCAGGTGAAAGGTATATTCAATCAGGTCTTCAAGAGAATGGATCAAGAGCATATTTTTGTTCAGCAGAATTCTATTAACATTTGGCACAGTATGGTTGAAACAATTTTAAAAGCAGCAAGCCATTAACAGATTAATTTCTCTTTGCTTCGGCCATGCTAGATCAACCAATTTTCAAATTGGTCAAGATGAACTGATCTTGCTAGACGGTTCAGTACTGCAGCTCCTATTAATGGGACTGTAGGCCACAAAGGAGTAATTGCATGTGTGCTTTAGAGAATGAGAAATGCATACAGGGACAATGGGATTTTACAAGTCCAGCAGCTCCAATCACTTCAGTCTCTTAGGGCTTCCTCTTAAAGATTTTTGTCTTTTAGGACTAAAAGAGAGTTTCAGAAATGCTTTTTTGCAGTTATTCTACTGGTGCAATGCTGAAATGAGGAATAAATTAAGCTCCTTTAAATTATGGACTGTTGACTCAGAAGAGTTCCTAACAAATTAATTCAGAATTATTCTTCCTTACTTATCTTACACTTACAAGGTTCTTACAGGGAGATGCAGTGGACACACTAATAGGTAATCAGCATCTTAAAAGCAAGTAAACCTCTTCCATGGGGACTTCTAGAGTATGTGTAAAAGAAAGGTACTAGCTACTCTATTTGGGCTTGAGCCAGGAGTGGCACAGACAGACAGTGTGCAAATTCAGACAGCTCTATTAAATGAATGTCAGTCCTGATTTGATGAGTCTCTGCGCAGGCATGGCTTTTGTGCTGCTCTCCAGTAATACTCAAGAAGCACAGATAACTTTTTCCCCCCCTGGGATTTAGCTTTGCTATTAAACAAAATACAAATGCATTGAAATCAAAATATACTCATTGCTGTAGTCCACACTCTAGGACCTCTCTTGCAGAAAGCAGTTTCCTTGTACTGAGGTAGTAAAATTGCCTGCTTCTGAGTCAGCAGAACCCACTTATTCCCTTCCCATCAGGATCAACACCTGTTTACAGGGTAGGGTGATGTTTCAGGCAAATACTGCCAGCCTGTCACAGAGATCTAAAATTAGAGTACCAGGGAATTGCTAAATGTTATGAATGGTGTGGTTTACGAAGCTCACAAAAGGATGAGGACAGTAACTAACATTTGCTTCTGATCTAATCCAGGATTTGAACTTAGCTTCCAGAGGTTAAAGAACACCATACTAAGCTCTTGCACCATCTAGCCTTTGTTATGGGTGCTTAATAAATAGATCTAGCACTGTGTATTCTGTATTTTCTGTTAATGGTTACCCTGAGTTTAAATACTAACAGCATTGATAAAGGTATTTTCTAAAATGGTGCTGAGGTACTTGAAGATTTGAGAGAATCTGTAATGTATAGTTTAAGTGTTCTTTTTTGGGGAAGGGGTTCGGTAGGGGAGGGAAGACGATTTGCATCATAAACCAATAAACCACAATCCATACCAGAGCAGGAGAAAACCCCAGCATGGTCGTAGGGAAATTATTTCTCTTGTCCTGGCCTTTAGGACCAACCATGCAGACAGCAGAATTCCTTTATAGTAATATTCACAATGAATAAATACCACGAAATGTGACAGACAAAGCAGATAAATCTATCTGGAGGTGTGTATTTGGAGATGGATTGGACTCAAGGAAAACAGCTTTCACAGTGCAAAGAGAGACTTGTCTTTTCCCCGTTATGAACGGAACCATGCATCTGTGGTACAACACATTTCTTCCCAGCTAACATGTGTCTGTGTGTTCTGGTGGCCATAAGGTCATTTACTCTTCCCATATTTGACATGGCTTTCACATCAGGAGGAATCATGAGACCCTGTAAGGTAATTGCTGTCCGAAGAGACTGACCTTGTGTGTTCAAAGACTACTAATAAATTTTTAACACAATGAGACAGCCTGTTTTAATGTAAATTAAATACGTCTCGGATACCAGCACATAAAAGGTTGGTAAGTATTCATCACTGCAATCGGGCAAGTTGAGGTTTCTATTTGTATTAGAAAAGCTGAAGCTGTCATTTCCACTATTTGGCAAGTAACATGTATTTTGGATACATGTGAGATGATGAAAAATCAGATCTAGAATGGGAAAATTATTAAGATAAAAGGTTGCCTTTACAGTTTACACCAGTTCTTTTCTGCAGTACCTGAAAATCTAAAGACTACTTGTCTCAACAGTGTTGGGAAAGGCACTCCAGAAATAGCGCACCTGGAGAAACCATCTGTACTTGGGTCCTTAGAAAGAGGCCTATGGTCATGAGAGCATGCTAAAGCATATGTAAGGATCCCACAAAATTAAGCAGACATCTCCACTGTATGTCTACTGTAATATGTGTAAAAGAAGGAAAAGAAATCATATCCATGGCAGAGAAAAGAGTGATCTTAAACCAGGTGGTGATCAAATGATATTTTTTGGAGAGTTATATTGGAATCGTCTGGGGGAGGAAAAAGAGAAAACCAGCCAGTGCTAAGAATATAAGATATAGCTAGCAACCATGGCAACTCTAATATTTAACTACATAATCCAGGGTCATTATCTAGTAATAGCAATATAACAAGTGCTCAAAATAACCAGCTATCCCATCCCTTTCACCCAAACTTAGATACCCAAAAACATCTGTTATGGAAATACATGTGTGTTTCTGGAACATAAATTAAATTACATTCTGTGACCTAAATGTGGTGTGTTCTCACTTCCACACCCTTTTCTTTCTTTTTGATCGTGTCTCCCATTCCAGAGTGATTTTGTCCCTTGTACTACCTATTGCTGGCATAAAGGGGAAGAGTTTGAGTGAAGACAGCAAGCAAAGCTAGGATGATTTATATTAGCAAAAAAATCTAACCAATATTCTTTTAAATTCTTTCAATTTCTTGCTTCTTTTTGTTTGTCTTTTTCCTGAGTAACTTTTCCCCTTACTTGCTTTGCACTTTCATCTTCCCTTTTTTGAACCTGCAACCTCCCTTTCTCTCTCACATTTCCCATTTTCCTGTGAAATAGTTGTATTCTCTCCCACTCCGAGCCTAGCATATTCTCTTGCCATCTACATTGCATACAAGAAAAAGGGGCAAATATACTCTGTTCTTGTCTTGACAAGAAGCAACCCTTGTCACTTTACACCGCTGCCTTTCTATACTTTGGCCATACTTGATCTTCACACTACAGTGGGAGACAAGTCCAGCTAAGCAGACTTAAAAGCCTTTGAAAAGTTGCAAAAGAGTAAATGTTTTTGACTCTTTAAAACAATGCTATTCAACTTCCTCTTTCTTAAAGATGCCCCCTTTATAAATACACCTGCATGTATTATTTTATGTATAAAAGGTTACACTGATCTTTGGAGGTTGGAACAAAAATTGTTTAAAGTAGAATGAATACTATTCTATGTTTTTATTTTACTAAAAAGCTCCAGTACCTGTATGGACATTTATGTCATGTTAACATTGCTTCTTCCTCCTAGCCAAAAAATCAAAAATATTTGCTCAATCCATCTTCTGCTCTTTTCCTGACAATCATTATCTTCAGTATTCTGTGTGCAGTGTACTACCAGTGGGCACCACAGGTGCAGACACTGCCAGGTGAGACTTGACCTTTTAATTCCACAGCTGAGTTGACATGTGGAGAGGAAGTTTGGAGAACTGGCAGGGGCACCGTCCAACAGCACTTCTGGTTGCCCTTAGTAAAGGTATACACTGAAAAACACTACATAAATTATTTGTTCCCATTACAAGGGATGAAACTCTATCTTTGTCCATTTTATCAAAATAGTATTTAAAAGAAATAGACAATAGATAGCAGGTGTATTAGGCAGTTGTGAATCTTTCCTTTCATACATTCAAATTTAAATGTTAAAGATAGATACCTACAACAGGGGAAAATTTCAGAAAGCTGCAAACTCCATCTTTTCAATTTGATTATAACTGCTTTTGAGGCTAAAAGCTGTGCACCTCATCAGACTTTTTAGAAAAGTCAAAGCATCCTTTCATTCTAAAAATGGAACAGTCACACAACATGTGTACCACCCCAGCCATTGTAATCCCCTCTTCTCCTCTTCATACAGCATATGCTACCCCACAGACTTCCTTTTACTTTCAAACTGTAACTGTTGAGAACATTTTTAGATGTAAATCAGCGATCACTGGACCAAAGCACTCTTCTACTTCTTGCTTATTCCTTCAACTCCACACTTATACTCCCTTTCTGTCTAGTTTTATGTAAAAATCAAGGTTAATGTGTTCAGGCTGTATATACTTACATGTATGTAAAGGTATATGTGTCCTAACAACTTTTTAATCCACCTTCCAATTTCAACCAAACTTCATGCAGTGAAGAAGTCTCAGTTAGTTTCTGGAAGGTTTTATAGAAACAGACTGCTGCAGAAAGGAAAGACATTCCAAAGGGAAAGACAGCATTGTGAGACCTCCTCCAAAACATTACAAAATAGAGAATCTACCTGGAACGAGGAGCCATAAATAGTTCCCATCTGAAGAAAAAAAGCTTCAGCTGGGACTTGCAGCTTTTTAAAACCTCAAAATCAAGTAATCCCAGTGCATTAACCTATAGGAAATTAGGCATCTTTAATCCCAGTGTTTGTAGGACCACTTTTTCAGATTAAGAGATCTGGAAGGTGGTGAAAGGTGCTGCACTGATATTTGTCATGTTCAGGCATTTCACAGCTACTCAGCATGTGAATATCTAGGCCAGATATGTAATTAGAATGCACATATGAGTCACAATAATGTAATTATATTTGCTGCCTTATTCAGCCACTCTTAACATACGTTTACTGGGGCATGAAATCTTTTATCCACAGAACAGGTTGAGCAAAGGTAGCTGAACCTATGGAATGGTATGGAAGCTTCCTCACATTGTTCCACTGTTGACATCCACTGGAGGAATGAAGGAAAATGCCAGCCTGAAGCCCCTTAATTCATCTGGGATTAGCACTGATGAGAGGCTGACTTCTGGGCTCAGAGGTTGATTAGGATAGTTTTGAGCTCAGGTAAACAATTTTGTGCATATATTTGTCATTGTCATTAATGAGCAAAATATTTCCAATTCAGCTAATACCACAGACTCTATAAATAAGCAAAAGTGTATTAAAATGGCATTTTTTTCATTCTAGTAAATGCCAAAATATTATATGTGAGTCTACTTTTCAAGGGCTCCAAGTTTACTTCATAAATGTGCATAACTCATTCAGGGATGTACAGTAGACTGTAAAAACCAAATGAGCTAAGGCTACCTTTTGAGCTTACACATCTAAAGTTAAGCACTTAACCATTTAATATTTTATATTCTGTTTGGATTTTCAGAGAAGACAAACTCACATGGTTTCCACTTAATTCACTTGGATGCTAAATACACTTATATTAGACAATCAAATTTGGCAAACTATTGCAAAATTATTTGATTTAATTATCTTTTCTACATCATTTTTAAAAAACAAAATACTTTTGATTGGCCAAGTTTAATCAATGATGAATCAAATGCAAACACTGGGACAATGTGTTAATCTTTTCTTGTTATTTTTACTTCTTTTCCAATGTTTGTGCCAGTCTGTCAGCAACTGAGTGCCATGCAGGTCCTACAGTGGAAGGAGATTTGTAGTGGGAAACCTCAACTAGTTCCGACACTTCAGGCAACAACTAACTATATTGTGCCTGTAGCCGTCAACCCTGATTCAAGGAGATCTTTGGCTATATTACCTGTAAGACTACAGGATTTCAGCAGTTTCCCTCTCACCAGCTTGCCTCTGCAGCTGGAGACTCCCATGGATGCAAAGTTGGCTGAACTGCACGTTCAGCTGTGCAAAGATTGCTGTGAAACAGATAGAGTGGTCCTCCTTCTACTCAAAGCCCGCTCTGCAACAGAGCTCTTTCAACCCCTGCTGCTGTATTACAGATGTTTCTGTTCAAGCAGCATTTGGAAAAATTATGATCTGGTCTTCATTTTCATGAGAAGTCTCAGAGATTGACAGTGAGGTAGCTCTCTCTGAGGAAGGCAACGCTGCTTGAAGTCATGAATATAAAAATGAAAAAGCATGAAAGAGAAAGTTTACTTAGCAGTAACTGTTCCTTGGGGTTGGTTGTCTGTTAAAAACTTTCACTATTCACCCTCTTCCCTCTCTCTTAATTTCTTTTTCAGGTTTCTTGTGAAAAGTGACTGAGAGTCATGGAGTGCACTTTGCCATTTAATAGTCATGCAAAGATCACAGGGGTATAAGTACAGGCCATAGACAAGAAAACAAGTCTCCAGCTTACGCACTTTGGATATGAACACCTAAAATGTCAATGTACACAGAGTCAATGCACCTCACAGAGAAATGATTACTAGTGTTGTCAAGTACTCTAAACCTAACTGAGGATCTGCTGTGTTCTTCATTAAAACGTGTAAAGTTAAATTGAAAAAAATTTCCCTAAAACTAAAGAGGGGACTTGCAGGAGCTGAACTAGATTGTTATGTGATCTGGAGGCTGTTAATTAAGGTTTTAAGAGACATCTGTACAACTGAGGGTGCAGAACTATGACAACTCTGTGTCTTTAGTGGCCCCAGTTGATCCTATGGGCCAATGGCCTAACTGTTGTGCTGTACCATGACCACCAGACAGAGGTATAAGGTCAGAAAATTCCATGTGAAACCCTCATGTTTAAAACAGGATTTTACAAACAGAATATGCAACCATAAATACTTTGGGAAAGCTACTCACTTTCTTTCTTCCAGCAGAGCAATTTCTTTCTTGACCTCATGGTACTCTTCTGCTATTTTGCAGTGCTGTTTGTACACCTGCATAGATTCCTTAGAGTCATGACAAGGAGGCAGTGGCTTTAAGAAAAAGAAGAAGAAAAAATATATATATATACTGCTTTTGAATGAAATATTAGAAAAAAATACATATTTTGAAAGATAGAATATTTATCTTAATTCCTGTGAGACTACTTAAAGAATTTTTTTTTTCTCCCCTAACTACAGGATATGGACAAATAATCCTTTAATGGTCTCTCATGGAAGGGAACAACCCACTTCCCTGCATGAAAATATGAAGAAACCTTCAAACCTTGTAAGGATTTTCAGAACTTTCCTTGTCAACTTTGGAAAGTATCTCTAAGGATTGTTCAAAGAAAGATTTCTCCCTTACCTCCCTCTTTTTCAGCTACAGTGTTATAAGAATGTTAAAATTGATGTACTGGTCAGACCCATAAAATACATGAGTGTGTTTTTACTGCAGAAACTGCAGCACTGAGAAGAAGGATTATTTGAGTGCAGACAAGCTCTTATTCTCCAATTCTGCAAGATGAGAAGAGAAGGCATGGAAAGCTATTGACTAAAGACTTTTTTTTTTTTTTTTTTTTATAAATGCAATGCTTATTCCAGTTTATTACTAAATGGGACAGGACCGTGAACTAGGACACTGGGGCTGATTCTGCTGGACTCAACAGGAGTTATACTGATGACTCCAGTGCAGCCAACATTTCATCAGAGGTTGTATCCCAGCAGTGGCTCAAGCTGTAAGTAGTTTGCTGAAGATCATACTCATTTTCTCTGTGTCTCTATTTCCTGTACAAGAATGGGATATACTTAGCAGAAATGTCATGAGAGTTAAATCAGCTATATTTACAAAGTGTTTTAAATTTCCATGGGAAGTGCAGGTGAGATTGAAAGGAGAAGGATTACAGCAATTAAAAGAGAAAAAAAATCAGTTAAAAAAGACACAGTGAAGGCAAAAGCACTGTACCTCCTAATCTAAATACTGACATTATTGCAGCAAGATTTTAATTTGTTTTTCAGTGCACACAGGAGGTACTAAATAAACACATTGCTGTAATAAATAAACAAATAAAACCGCTCTGTCGTGGGACTTATCATATGAATTTCAAACAAGATCTTGAAAATACAGTTGAGTTAAATGTCAGTGTTTTTTGTTCCTTAAAAAGAATGCAACTTAATTCAGGCTTCAGGCTTGACTGTCTCATTTTGGCTATAACACTTTCAGGAAGTGTAGTATTTTTAAGTTATTAGCCATGAATCAATTGACTGTAAATGAACTCCAAATAGCATGCTTCAGCCACCTGTTTGAAGCAAAAGGAAGCACTTAAAATAGTTCCTTTACTGTCCAGTTAAAGAACATCCAATTGCCTTTCAAAATATAAGTAGATTATTTTTTATTTCTTGTTGTCCTACTTTGACTCTTCTCTGTAGGATAATATTCCTTCGATGACATCGTTTGGAAAAGAAAAGCACAAGTCTTCAGTCTTTGCCTATTTATGATCTTGTAAACCTTTGTTTTAGCTGGAAATTTAACTGGAAATTTAAATTTTAGTAAACATATTCACAGACAAAGATTAAAAATATTTTCATCCAGGAGGCAGGGTAAATTGGCTTCAGATTTACCCCAGTGCACAGATGTAACTAATGTATGGACCTTACAAGTACTTTTTAGACGGTATGTAGCTCCTCACTGAAATTTTCACACACACACACACACACACACACAAACACAAACATTGTTTTCCATGTTCTAAATGTTAAAATGGTGTGGCAGAACCATTTCACAGCACTTTGTTTTATTCTCTCTGAGCCTTGAGAATCTGGGAACCCAAGGAAAAGACAGTCCATTACTTCATGACTCTGGTCCCTAGGAAAGGGCTTTTAATTGCATTTCATTGTGGATGAGCAATAGCACCATTCATATAGCCACCCAAATAATAAGTATAAATTTAACAAGACAGAATATAGAAGTCTTAGTGCTCTAATCCAAGAATGCAAGGGTGAGCCAAAGTAGCATCTCTGGTATCTACCACAGATCAGCAAACAACAAATGCGTCACAATAAAACAATTTTGAACAGTACTCGGGGGAAAGTCCCCAAACAGTGATACCTAAAAAGAAAAAAAACCTTGCTTTCGCTTCCAACTTAGTTTACACAAATCTAGCTGGTTTAAACCACTTTAAAACTTAAAGCAGCATTCAGTTTCTATATTCCAGCTTCCCACTCAAAAGATATATATAGAGAGCTAAAAATTATCTAGTCATGCTGAGACTTAGTATCTAATTCCCACTTAGAACCAGTTGCTGACTTTCAAACCCCTTCCTATCATTGTTTCCTCTTCAGTGTCATTTTTTCTTACATTGATATTTTATCACTCAAAATAAACTGACAACAAAAGATACAGTTTACTGATATTCTGTTCATACAATTCTTTTCAATCTTGTCTGATGCTATTAAGCACTGTATCAAGAGAGGTTTTTAAATTTTGAGTGTATTCTTACTTTAAAATGTAAATTTGATTATTTTTTGTTATGACTACATGACTGGACATTTTGGTTTGCTCTTTTCTGATTTCGAAATTTCTAAGAAAGGTTTTGGTGATAGTTCCTACAGTGTCCATGTGTAATTTCTGGCCAGTAGAATATGAAACAGGCTTATGCATTCATTATTTAACAAACACCTCTACTGCAATCACAAGGACAAATGAAAAGATACAAGCCTGGTCAGTTCTTTGCTGCCCACCAGAAAATGCAAGCCAACATAAAAGCACAGAGGAATTATTTTATCTATGTCTAACAGCCTACTTTTTGACATAAACAGGAGTGCAAAGAATTAATGATACATCTGTTCACAGCAAGAGAAGTGTTTTCAGAAGATGGCAGGGCAAAGTCTTGAAAAACTAATGCAGAAACAGGAGGCAAAACTTGCTTGTTCCAAAGGGGTAGTAAGTCCAACTAGCTAGCAGACATTTACGGTATTAACCTATTCCCACAGAAAAGAAAACAATAACAGAATAGTAACAGTTACTGGACCAGCCCATACTCATCAAAATGGGAATGGAAGGAACCTCCAAATCAGTGAGTCCAGTCCTCTGTTGTCAGAAGAAAATCCTGGAATTCACAGGCTTGCTCAGTTCTGTCCTGGAAAATCTGGAGTCCCCTGCCTCAGCTGTAAGACTGGACCAGAGCCTCACCAAGGAGTAGGAGCAGTTCTGTCATTTCCAGTTTGGTTTTGTTGAAGACAGGTTTGTATAATCTTTTATTGTGCCAGCACTATCTTTCATTTACATGGTGGTTCTTTGTCCTACCTGTTTTACTCCTGAGGTGTACTTACAGAGGGCCCTCATATACTTTCCAAGACCTATGTCTCAGTAAAACTGCATTCCTCTAAGCCATCGTAGATGAAATTTCCATTTTCCCTAGCTTATCCAAGCAGTCTTGCCCTGCTCCCCGTTCCACCTGGAATGACTTTGTTGAATGCCTGTGGCCAGGCCATGGGAAGTGCTGCAGATGATACCCTGATGGCATTCCTGTGGCAGAGAAAAAGAACTGGAATTCCCAGTAGAAAGCACTTTTCATCCATGAAGTCTGTATATTGTCTTTTTTGATAAGAGTTTGCTATTTTACCCAGGTGACTAACTACAACAGGCCTTAATAAACTTCAATTCACAGTATATATTTTTTTTCACCCAGAAGCCAACAGCCATACTTTAATTTCTCCTTAAGACAGCCCAAACTTGTTACTTCATGAAGTATCTTGCCTGTCCATAAATTAATATATATATAAAAGCATACCTGCTACATAAGCAGAAAACACCCCTGACAAATAAAGTTATATTTAATGGCAACAGTTGCTACTTTTAATCCTGCTTATTTCAGGCTTCAGTGTCATCCACACTCATTTTCCTGTGCTGGCAAAATATGTGCACACAGCATCTCTGATTTTGTTCAGAAAGCTAGTACAAAAGCTACAGCTTTCTATGCCCGATTTTCAACAAAGTCCGATTTTCCCTTGTATTTTATTGAATAACTCACTGTGACATTGATGAACTTTCTACAAAATCCAGCAGGTAGGCACTGAGAGATCTTGTTACAGGCTATTCTGTAACTGCACATCTTACGCATACCTTTTCAAGGCAGTTACACTGTTTATTTAGATTTTTGCTTGGAATCCAGATATGAAAGATGCTGGAAGATGATATGCAAAGGCAGTTCATGAAGAAATAGAAAGAGCTTGAGCAGTTTTGCCTGTATTTTAAGACAGGTTGAAGAAGCTGTTCTAATTAAAATCTTTGCCAGGGGACACAAAATAACAGTTTTTGATAATTTTTTTTTTTGCTTCATTCACATGACAAAGTGTGGTTTGCCTTGCCATATATCATCATTCCATATCCACAAAAGTTATATAATTGATAGTGTTACCCAAGTGTTCAAAAACTTTAAACCAGTTTATTTTGTAATTCACCTTCATTTGTTTGCATTTACTTTTTGGTTCTACTGTGAAAAAAACCTCAAAACTGTCTCCTGAAAAGAGAAAAAATTGTATCATGCAGTTTTGCCAGCTGAGAATGTGGACTTGTCTAGAAGGCAGTCTTTAGCACTGGTCCAATTAAAAAGTTGTGTCTCACTTTTTGTAAATTTGCTAATTTTCAGCTAAACTATTCTAGAATAGCAAAAAGTTCTGTGCCAGTATTTTATATGTGGCCCATGTTCATTATACGGTCTTGTATACTCTTCTGTGATGGAAGAAACCACATTATTCCAAGCAAAAGTGACAGCTGCTCATTGCAGCTACTTTTTGTTGTGCAACTGGAACTCTTCAACCAGTTTCAGATACCTAGTCTAGGATATATCTAGTCTAGTCTAGTTTTACTGTGAAAGTAAGCAGTTCTCTTTCTTACAAACAATTCAAGACAACTGGATGAGAGCAATTGAGAGTTTTCCTCTCCTTTCCCGACAGATTTTCCATTCTTTTCTGACCTTAGTATGATGCTCTGACTTTGTAAATGTCCATGTCTTACATAATCTAAGCTCATAGTTATCACAGCAGCATTACAGGAGACTTACGAAGTTTATAGGCAATCAAATCTAATTATAGAGTACCACAGTACTCTAGGAATTCTCTTGGAATTCAATACATATTTTAAAAATACAGCATGCCCTTTAAAAACACAGTATACTTTTAAACTTTCTAAAGTAATTTCTTTGTGTCTAACATGAGTCTTGGCAGTCAGTAGAATCAATAGTTCCATTATGAAAGTTCCAGAGTAAAAATGGTTTCTGCTAAATGCTGGTATCACATACTACAAACTGTCCCTTTCATAATATTTTCATTGCTTCTTTTGTATAGATATTTCCCACTAAAGCATGAAAAACTACCCCTTGACTTAACAAACTGATACTATGAATGGTTGGAGCCTTTTCTCTGCTGCAGCCATTTTACAGTCATCTAATTCCATTGATCTCAACAGATTTGTAATACAAAAAATGACATAGATTCCTCTCTCAAGCTCATGATTTCACGAGAAGAGATGATAAAGAGTTACAGAACACCCTGTGCATCCATCCGTATGTGACTTGTGTTCTTCCCTCTTCAGGATCAAACTCCCAGCTGGAGTAAGGACTTTGATGGAGAAGAGGGAGATGAACCGAGCGAGTCACAGGAAATGCTGGAACAGGACAGACAGCACACAGGGCACAGTAATGCGGGTACTTAACACTAGATACCTTCCTCCATATGCAGTGACCTAAACAACAAGGCCTTAGATGCTGATGTAGGTGTCTAAAGATAGCACGTAACCCGTAGTAGAGTGTCTGTCGGAGGGGCCACCACCCACTGTGCAGCTAATCAAGGAAGTGCCTCCCAAGGCCCAGCCCAACTTTCCCACAAGGAAAAGGTTAAGGTTTCCCAACAACAAACCCACACACGTGGCAAGCCCACCCTCGCTGCACTACCCACCACACTGCCCACACCAGGGCGCGGGGGAAAGACACTGAAGCCCAAATAAGCAGGTGCTTTATCCTCAAACTCTTGCTCGTCAGTGGGAAGAAAATAATTTCCAACACTGCAAACAAAAGGAATTGAAAGCAAGAAGTTTATTAATATGAGCTTTGTTTCAGTGGTAGCATATCAGGAACTTCTTCGTAATTTTTTTTAATAATAAAGCTGTGAAAGAGACCAGGATTTTCCTGCATATAGCTTAAACTGCTCTGTTATCATATGTAGGGCTTTTGTGTCTGGTTAAAGATACATTAATTTATTTTTTAAATTAAAAAGAAAAGAAAAAAAAAAAAAAAAAACAAACCAAAAGCAAATATTTTGAGTTACAGAATTTATATTATTTTCTTACAAATTGCTTCCTCTTGCAAAAGACAACATTTTTGGTCTGAACCTAGCTAGCAGATCAGAACATTAGATTGATCATTTTTATTCTTCAGAAAGAAGCTGTAACTTTCAACTGGGACTGTCCTTAGTAGGAGTCCTTATAGAGAATTAGCTATTTGCAGTTAGTCTCCTAGAAATACCTTTTCTTCGGTCAGTCCTAGCTCTACCTCTGTAAAGTTGGCACCAGTGCTTGGACAGCAGGGTTTATTGCCCTGTCAGGGGGAGGCTGCATTGAACTTTGCCCTGCCATCGGATACCATTGCCCAGGGAGTAGGTATGGTAGGACTGTGGTAGGAAAAGTGGGAACAGTAGGTAATTCTGCTCAAACAGCCAAGTTGTCTGCCAGGGCCTAACATAGAAGGAGAAGGGCTTGAAGCCTAAAACAGAGGTGCAAATTGCTTGGTACTCAGGCTGTGGTCTGGTGCCTGCATGCATAAAATTCTAAGGCTCTGATTTTCCAAGTCACTCAGTGAACTTACATAGCTTTCAAGCTGCTTTCAAAATCCAACCTGAAGATCAGCTAATTTGGCCTTTTTTGTTGTTTGTTTTTAAAACAAGTTTCAAAATTTTCCTTCGTATGTTTGAATCCTGGAATGATGACTTTTTAAAAAAAAAAAGAAATTGCCTATTACTATATAGCCACATACTCTGCATTTATAGTTTGCTTCTTTAAATAAAAGACAAATGCTTTTGACTGTATTTATGGCATGGTGATGAAAATCCTGTAGCTCTAGATGTGATATTTTTATTATGAAAATATGTACCAGCATTCTTAAAAATTCTAGCATTTCAGGCTGCTATACCACAGCTGATTAAAGGGTTCATTTACATGACGTTTCACGTCTGCTGCTTTATACTAGCTAACTTTGGGATAGAGAAAAGCATGGATGGAATGACAAGGGACACCACCATTCAGTACTTTCGCAGGTCCTGGTGAAGCCCCTGTTGTGAATTGCTGCTGTAATACAGGAGCTGCTCGTTTCAAAGCTGGTATGGCTGCATTAACACAAATTGCAACCTCATGATATACAGGGCTGAGACACCCTTAGCAGTTTGGACTACAGCAATTTAAAAAAGTAATTAATAAGAAAATGTAACTAGGTAAATTATAACTTGGTTACCGCTATTGTTTGTTTGAAATTTTAAAGTGGTATAAACATAACTTAATAACATCAAATAGTTATACCTTTCAACTGTGATCCAGACTGACAAAAGCAAGGAAATCCAAGTTTTCATCACTAAGCTAAATGCAGTTACGTCTGCATCAGCTCAGAACCCTGTCTTGACTTAACTGCCTTTGGTTGAACATAAAGACATCTAAATATAAATACGCACATAAGCTTGAAAAGCTAAAGGATGAAGCACTACCACTAACTTTATACTTCTGACTGGTTGAGTCAGCCAGATAGTCCTCGTAAGTTATCCTTTCAACTACCTCAATATTACCAGAAAAAGTTTCTGAAGGATAATTAAAATAACATTATCTGAATCAAAGCCTTTGATTGTTTCTTTGAATTTGTTATCATATTGAGATCATGAGAATAAAGGAAGGTTCTACGGACAAAAATATGTCAGGTACTTAACAGACCAAGAGGGTGTACTTAGTGGAACTGCTCTATTGTGTACTTAAAACTTTTACTGAAAGGGTATTATTTATCCAGCAGATTTGAATGCTTCCAGAGGAGCAATTTCAGTCTATCATGAAATTACACATTTAGAGTACATTATACGTTCCAGAAATGGGTCATAAAAGTCCTAATAAAAAAAAATGATCACTTGGCCTGTAAAGTACATACATCTAACTCTAGTAATTTTGTTTTTATGTACCAACAGCAGTAATGGTAATCATAGTTTGCTCTTTTAGAGCAGCCTTCACCCACTAATCTCGATGCTCTTTAATAAAAAAGGTAAAAATTATTAACCTCATTTCAGAGATGAGAAGAGGGATGAAACAACTCCTCCAGGATCATACACTGTGTCATTGACAGAGTTGGAAACAGAATGCAGGTTCTTTACTTTCAATTCAGTGCTTCAGCCACAAAACAATATAACTTTTCTCAAATTCTTCTGAGGGAAAAAAAGATCAATCATCTTTGCTGCACTGGAAGATCAGTGGAATAGAGAGGCCAACATACTACCGTGTTCCTTTCACCCTAAATCTTAGGTTGCTACTCGTTCCTTTAATCTTTCCTAGTTATGCCTAAGGAACCTGCCCCTATTCTCAGGATTAGAGGGGTAGAGCAAGAAGAGCCTCCGTCATCCTCCATTCCTTCCTCAGTCATCCTTCTGAGGGGAGCAGCAGTACAGAATAGTCAGTCCTTTAAGTCAGCAGCCCTCCAGTGTTGTCTCACTAGTTGATAGGGACAGGAAGGATGACATCATTGGACAACACGGTCTGCTAATGCCTTTCTCAATTTACACTCAGGAAACAACTGCCTTCATATTGAAATATCAGAGGAAGTCTAAATGCTCCTGGGAAACAGATGATCTGAAGTAGTTTACAAAAGCCAACAAACACTCCAGAACCGCCACAGAGGAAAGGGAAATAATCCCTGGATACAGAACTGGCTCTGTGCCTGCTGAACCACGGAGTTGCCATCAACTGCTGTCTGATTGTCCAGTCTGTCGGGCTGTGCTACGCTGACAAATCGGGCTGCTCACAAAAGGATTCACCACTTTCATCCTGTGCTGCCTGCAGACACCTGCTAGGGCAACGGTTAGGGTTGCAGCATGAACCAGAGTAACTCTGAGGAGGATCTCATCAGTCCCGATGGTTCGCTTTAGTTACCCAAGATTAGAGATAAAATGACACTACAAAATACACCTTTGTGTTCTCTTGGAGTGCTTCAGAGAAAGCTGATCATACTGGTTTTAGCACAGCTTGTAGGCATGAGAATATAATACCTGGCTCATTCCTTCTCCCATCAAAGCCACAAGAACTCTTCATTGCAGTGCAGCAGCATGGGCTGTGTTTTGCACAGGAATTATAAAAAAAAAATTAAAAAGCAGGTGAGATTATTAAAACGGTAATTTCCCTGATTGGATTAAAAATGGGAATAAATTGGATTAAAAATGTCAAATCAATTTTTCTGAAGTTCTTGAAAAGACAGTGTTTTCCTCTATGGAAATATACAGCCTTACCAAACGTTAATGGGTTAAAGAATCACCACTGAAAACACTCATCTTAGTGTAACAGAGTTTTTTTTATCCTAACAAATATAGTGAATGTGAAGTAGAACTCTAGTAAAAAAAAAAAAAAAAAAAAAAAAGTTTACCTGCAGCTGCTGATCTAGTTCTGGAAATGCCAAAGGGAAATTTTCAGAGGAAGCATCATCTAAAAGGTAAACATGATGTTAAAAGTCAATGTCCACCAAAACGGGCATTCCAAATGATCTGTTTAACATAGTTCTGCATTGCATATATTCAGAATAATACTGGGATGTTGCAAACACCTCCGCATCTTCTTATCTTGCTACACTTGAGATACCTTAATAGACCCCTTGAAAATACTAGTGGTTTGGCAATAAGGAAATGTCTAGGTGCTGGAAAGACATAAAGCTTGTATTGTATTGCAGTGATTAAGAAACAAAACAAAGCCAATTAGCCCAGTAGAACATGTTATAATTTAATAAAACCAATCCATTACACTGGAAAGTAAAATACCTCCCAAGGACAGCATCTTAACCACCAAAATGTTCATTACTTGAATGAAGGGAAAGATATCCTCCCCATCACAATACAGTGATTTAGAAGGGCTAAACCAACAATCACAGAAACCTTTTCTCCCACCACCCAGAGGCAACCACAAGAACACACAAACCAGCCTGGCAACACTGGAACTAGAAGACTGTTACTTACACGGGTGGGATTAGAATGGGGAAGGCACCACAAATTTCTCCATACTGCAAAGAAACGTCTTTACTCTAACCTGCAAATAACAATCCTTATGGGCGAGAGTTTGTTTATGACAACAAGCTAAACTGTGTTTTTATTTATTTCTTTATTTTTAGTACAGGCTTCCAGCAAAGGTGGGACAGACTGTGCCAGTTACGTCAGTGTTGTGATGTGGACACCTGCCCACTAGTAGCTGGACTGAGATCAGAAGTATGAATCATACTTGGTAGCGTCACAGCTAGCCACTGCAATATTTCTTTCTCAGTGACTTTCACACTATCAGTTTTGCATTGGATTGTGATGACTGTTTATGCATCTTACTACAGGTTACGGGAGGTGAAGAGAAGGTTACTATTAGCTAGCTTAGAGAGTCGGTTATTTGTAATGTGTCAAAGTTAAACGAGGATGGCTCTCTCGGGAGAAAATTGCTAACATAGGTCAGATCCTGCAACCTGCTCTATGCTGGCAGACTTGTACACTACAACAAAACCCCAACAAGATTAAGAGGACCATGTATCAAAGCAGGATTCTGAATATTCTTAAAGAGTACAGACTAGGATTTAAACTATTTGTCATGTATTCATTACTGCTTTATCCTGCTCTCAGTGGTGATACAGCAAAGTATGTTAGGGGGAAAAAGTAAAACAAGTCACCTTATCCTATGAAGAACAAACAAGCTGGCTAACATATGGTCAGAGACTTTAACTAACACAGCTAGAGCTGGGAACCTGTAGGAAGGGGTGCCAAGAGAAGAGAAAAAAAAACAGTGATACAGAGGGCAAAAGCAAAAGCTTTTGAACTTCCTCAGGAAACAAAGTGAAGTTTTATATTTTCAGGGGGTATGGGTCTTGCTAGTATTATCAAAAAGTCATACCTGCACACCCCACCCCCCCATCTTCATTTTTCACACCAAGTCTCAAACGTGTCAATTCTGGAAAATACTTAAATGGCTTTAATGGTATAGAATTGTATCACACTGAAATGCAAGTGTTTACCTTTAGTTTGCTGTTGCTTTCTTGTACAATATTTAAAAATAGACTAATATTCTAAAAGAAGAAAGATGAATCATATGACAAGGCTAAAAGGAAGGACGGAATAGGACTCAGTTCGACTAGCGGTACAGCTGCTCTACAAATATTTGGCTGAATAGCTGTTAAATATTCTGACAGAGATATTGGACCAGAGTCATGGATAGCAGTTAAGCTGCTATTTGTTTTGACAATTCCAGCACTACAATCTTTGGTACAGTAGCATTAAGGAGGGACCTTGAACATTTTTAACTTAAAAAAAATGAAGCAAAGGCAACCCAAATAATTTTAAAGAAACATCAGCCAGTAATTTTTCACTGCATCAGATATTAATAAGAAAACAAAATTAATTCAGTGTCAGAATATTAGAAAATATATTGGATTTTCTTCAGAAAAGAACCAGTCAAAAAACTTTGGAAATACTTTAAAAAGGATGGAATATAGAGGGAAATTACTACAGAGGAAATCCTTTCAATAAACAGATGTTCCCTGCTTATTTTTTGAACTCAAGTGACTGAGTCAATGGTACTAAAAATAGAACATATTGGTATCCTAACCATTATGGCATACCATAGTACATTTTATAATGGGCCTGCCCTAGCATCTATTGAACAGCTGCTAGGGTTTTTTTTAGTTAGGCTAGTTTAAGACTTGTTTAAATCATCATCTGATGCACAAAACATCATCAAGAAAAGTTGGGCACTTCAGTGGTTTGAAATTTTTTGGAGTTCCCAGTTCTCTTAGGCTCCTCTGAAATTTTCAGCTGAAGTATTTAGTTTACAAAAATTAATGGAAATCTTCACAGCTAACTGCAATCTTGTTTTCCACAAAAAGAACAACAAAAAACTTTCCCCACAGCTTCCAGTGACATAAGTTACTGCATCAGGTCAGTCTGTATTTCACTGTTGTCAAAGTAACAACCACAACAATAACAACAAAACTGGCTTGGTAAAAAATAAACACCTTTAGATTACACACAAGGGAGAAGCAAATGACAACAGTCATTCACCTACTAAAACCTTTTTGAGGATGTTTTCATGAAGACAAGAGGAAAGATACAAACTTTCTTCCAGAAGAATCACTATTGCCCTTACAAGCTTGAATACTGGGTGTTACGCAGGAGATAGACAAAATCACATTGCCTTCTAGCCTTAAAAATCTATAACAGAAAATCAGAAACACTGAAAATGTCTGAAATGTCAAAGAAAATATTCTGAAGATCAGAACACTCTCACAACTATCTCCTTATCCGTCTATATTTGTTCTTTTCTATTCTATATCTCCTTAACTAGACAATAGAATTCAGAAAGAAATTTTTCTCCTTTTCTCAATTTATCATCAATATTTCATGAGTGCCTAGATTGTTATAAGGAATCACTGATATAATCAAAGACCCCCTTTATAATACAATTAGTGTTTTTTTCTGTACCAGAAAACCCTGAATATAACTAGGCTGATTCTTCACCAGATACAAACAACATCTCACCTCTCTGGTCACTGTTTTACTGCTCCCTACACTGTTGCTCGTAAAGAAAAAAGGATCTATAATTCAAGCTGGTTGTTGAAAACACATTTTGTGTAAAAGTAAAAACACAAAAAATCACAGGCTTCAACTTGCTGCACCTGAAAATGAGTCAAGATTCTGGTCAAAAGAAAACAAGAAAGGAGGAAAAACATACATGTGAATGTTACGGCCATCCCAGCAAACTCAACAGCACTAACCCGTGATATGAGAGTCAGATCTGGGACTTCATTATAGGCACCTTAGTTAAAGTATTTGTTGCATGATTTCTAAATGAGTAGCACATCCTGATTTCTCATAGATCCTGAAACTAATTTTTAAGGTCTATATTTAAAAGCACACTAAAGGTAAAGACCTGTATTCTGATTACAAGATGAATTCTCCGCACATACAACTGATGTTTTTTCAACCAGAGACTTGGTTCATATGTATGGTGGAATAGTTTGACTTCCATGTTTTTCATCAGGTTCATACATTCACTTTGCTTGTTGCTGAAAACTGTCATTATAATAGAGAGCATCCAAGGGAGGGTCTGCAGGGAAATCACTTCCTTCTTTTGCTTTCCATCAATTGGGCTGAGACAAAGTACCCTTCTATGTCAGAGCCAGCTCTCTGACCATTCCTACAGCAAAACTAACAACATAATGAAAGAACAAGTTCCCTAAGCATGCTGCCCAGCCAACGCACCTTTGTGCTGAAACAGCGTGATGGGCAGCTTTGTGTAAGGGAAGCGATGCTAAGATGCTCATCCTTCACTGTCCAGGTGAGCACTTGCCTCTCTGATGGTAGCACCTATTAATGCAAATGTGAGACGGGCTTCTAATCTCTGGTACAGAGATCCACACAAGCTATCTGATTTAGAAGGCTGAACTGTATTCAGACTGCTTGCCTTCATAAGAAAAGGCTTACTACTTATCAGTGTGTCCTGATGCATTCGGTCCCCTGACATAGGCTAATGTTGCACATTTGAGAACGAATCATGCTTTCTGGAATGCTTCACTTATTTAATCATGTTCTGGCCTTCTGGAGATTCCAATAGCCCAGACCTTCATCATGTAGACAAACAAGCAAAATCCCTCACACTTTGCTGTCTGACTAACACAGTGTCTGGTACAATGAAGTGCAACACACCAGTCTCCTCCTATATGGCTGCTTCATTAAGCTGAACTGTAGGCTATGGGCAATAGCTAATGCATAAATACTTTAAGAACAACATCTGATTTACCTGCAGTATAAACTTGCAAAATACAGTTTCTCTAGGATCTTCACAAAGACAGACAGAAATAGAACATAAAAATTTAAATGTGTTGAAAGCACATTAAGGTTGCTAAATCAAGCATTCAAAATTTAGGAAATGCCAATCACAGCTCTGCTTCCTTGAGTAACTGAGTTATGATCCAGTCTTTAATTATACAATCAGGTACTATTTTTTTCTCCTACATGCGTGGGCAAGTGTATTCAGATCTCTTCCTCCTAAATTAAAGCATTAAACCAGCAACGTAAGTAGGCCGTTATCCTGTAAGTGGATCAGCTCTTACACAGGGAAAGTGCTCTAACTCAGCTGCAAGCACCGCAGCTCCCAGTGGGACAACACTGGCAATCTGTGCATCGGGGTCCAGCCTTGGCCCTAGGAGGGCAGTGAGATCCAGCAGCTCCGGCCCTGGTTACTGACAGACAAGCATAGACTCATCGGATTCGTCCTGGAAGGCTGTGTGGCTAAGTGACTGCGACTTGGCACTGCTGCGTGAAGTACCCCGGCTTCTATTCACAGCCCTGCCTGACATGACCTTATGCAACCTCACAGTTACCTCACTCGTAAAATAATGGGGAATGGTCACTGCCTGACCCAGGAATAGGCTATGAAGCCTTGCTCAATAATAAGAGTTGTGGACCTCTCAAAAAATAGAAACAGCCCGTAATAGAAAAGATAAGATCAAACCCCTCCTCCTCCATATACCTTCACCTAAGCTTAGCACCCTCTGATGCCACTATCCCTTTGAGGGTATCCCACTTAAGTTCCTGTCTCATTTCCCAAAGATCAAGCCACTTACTTGTAGTCTGGGTGTAGTTTCAGGAAACTAGCTTTGTAAATGTTAGCCATATATTTTATCAATCCCCACTGGTTTTCAAGCAATACATTATCTGCTGGAAAGCTTCTGTTGCCATTACAAGAAAAATTAGGATGGAGTAGGGATTTGAAGGTTCCTGTTGAAGAAGTAACCATTGGAAAAGGATCTTGCATGATCAACTATAAAGGCAAAAAATTATTCCTGGTCACTAGGATAACAAAGGTATAAAGAAGAGTAAAATAAGTCATTTGCTATGCTTGCAAAAATATTACACTGCTCCACTGTCTGTCAGTTTAATTAGAAGATGTATGCTTTGCCTTTGTTACCAGTGATTTTTCTGGAGAGTGCTATCAGAGGTAGACTAATTTCAAACAAAAGAAATTACCAATAATTTCAAACCCAGTCATTTATCACCACATGTCACTAGCAGAACTTTTCTGTGAGATTCGAGCTTTTGTTCTAGAAGGGAAGGTGAAGAGATGTTTATCTATAAATCTTCCCTTAGAACCGTAACACAAAACAAATCCACTTGTCTAAATTTAATAATGTTCTTGTTATAATCATTTTATCTTACCGTGTTCAGTAAATAAGTGCGATATAAAGTGGGACATATTGCATTTCATTGGTTTAATTAAATTGATGTTGATAAACTACAACAAACTTTCTATTTGGGAACACTTATTTAAATTTTGGAACACCACGTTCAGTTTAACTTGCATTAGTTTCCAAGTGATATAAGATAGTCTGAAACAGTATGTTACAAATTCATTAATTTAAAATGGTACTTTAAGTCAAACCGGTGCAAGACAGTGTGCAGACACACCCTGGGAAACCTGTGTTTGCTGCCAGCTTAGTACACTTGAGTAAAAGAGCCAAACATAGATATCTATATATACAGGAATAAGAGATACACAATAAAACTGTCTTCTGATATAGCACCCGCTGATGGGCTGCTCTGAGACTTTTAAGGAACTGGTTAGCCTACTTTCACATTAAAACTACTGCACAAAGCTGGCCAGGATTTCAGCCATCATGTGTTGACTTACAAATAATATAACACAATTAAATTATTTCTTGTACGCCCAAGATTAGTCAGCTCCAGTCTTGTAGGTCAGTTAACACAAAGTAATCTCTTCTCATGAGTTGAGAGCAGTTTCTCCTTTCGCTGCTCCTCACACCCAGTGCTTGGTTACAATCCTAGCCAGTGAGATAATCACCACCCACAAGAAACATTCCATTTCCCCTTTTTATATCTGGTTGTGCTGCCAGTTCCTCCTGGTAAGCAGTTGTACAGCCCCCGGAAGGAGAATGCTGCCTTTCTGGGTGAAATCTGTCACTACTGTGACCTTCAAGTGAAGTAAAATTTAAGGAAAGGCTTAAATCAAACAAATTGCTTTACCACTTAGCCCTGGTGAAGAACCTTTTATATATATTCTAGCAGTGCATGAGCCTCACCTGATGCTTTACTATCATGCTTACAGCAGGTAACTCCTCTTTGAACTGAAAACAAATATCCTTGTCAAGGAGGAAAAAAAAAATTAAAGAAATACAAAAAAATAAGGATAAAAAAAAAAAAAGTAGCCAAGTATGGAATACCTAAAGGTCTATCTGTTAAATGTTTTTATAGATCATCTTAAAAAAAAAGTGTTAAATACTTATTTGTACTCTCTCAATTCAACTATGGTTTGCTGGAAATTTTCAAACCTGATATAAGTTTATTTCATTTGCCTTCTTTAAATATATCAAATATAATAACCATGTTCAGGCTTACCACAAAGAGCAGGAGCAGAATTCTTGTAACATGGTAAAACAGTGTACTGGTTTAGACCTCCTGGTAGCCCCCAAGGGGATGTGATGCAGAGGAGAACATGGCACTCACGTTATTGGTTGCTATTTAGTTTTATTATTAGTACTCACAGAGATTCTGGATTGCATACTGCAGGAACACTTGCATATATACAGTAAAGGACGCAAAATTATGGAAAAGTTCAACAAAATGTAGCAGAAGAAGATTACCTTTCTGTAATTGAGTTTATTTCTCTAAATGTTACAAGAGAGGCTGGAATTACTAGCAGGATAGAAAAGTAAAAAATAAAATATGATGCAATGTTAAGGAAGCTAGGCTTCCTGCCTTTCATGTCCTCTTCTTCCAAGCTATTCACAACCTTGTCATTTCCTACTGCCGTCTCTTGTCACAAACTACTCTACCCTCTTTGATTTTCCCATGGTCTCAGCTTTCCCTGACTTGTTTTCAGTGTCTCACATAAGCATTCTTTTTCCATAATTTGTAAGAACACTCCTCTTTCTTTTACATCTCTCTTCAAGACCTATCTTTGCCATAATTCCTGTAAGAATTGTATCATGTTACTGTATCTTGAAAGATGAGAATGATTCCTTATTACTTTCTGTAATAAAAAAGTAATTACCGGATTATTTTAATTTATGAAAAAAGGGCACATAGATAGCCACATGTACTTCTTTATATTCCTTGTCCCAATTTTCTCTGTCACTTATCTTTATGAGCTGTAAGTTATGTGCAATAATATATGAAGATGTTTGTTTTGAAATTCCCTTGCTTAGGGAATAAGATTCTATTTCAGGCATGTAGCTGCAAATTAGTATTACACAACAATTAACTAGAAAAGATAATGTATATTCTAAAATATTTTTAAAATGAGAAAACTGTATTCAAGCTGAGACTGTTTACACAAAGCTCAGGAAGCGGCCTCACACATTATCCTACAATGCACACCATCCCATAAAGCACTCATCAGCAGTGGGTTTCAGTTATCATTATCAGAGATGCTTATATTTCGTGCCATAAACACATCTCAACCCTGATTTCAGGCACTCACCTTTAGCAAGAGCACAGACAACTTTTTTGGGGATGATTCCCAGCTTCTGATTTACTCTATTTCATTCTGACTTTTACTGTTTGACAACAGATCTCTAGACCTTATTAATATTTAAGGTGCAAACTAATAATATTAATGTATTCCAAAGGGTCCATGTATATACAGGGTATGTTTGGGGAAATTAATGCTTAATCAGCACTAGCTGACAGGATAAACATGAATGAAACTTATGCTGCTTTCTCAGGGAATATGCCATGTGGGGCATCCGTTTCCTGAAAAATTTCACCAAGCTGGGCACGTGCAGCACTTTCCAACCTTCCTGATAAAGGGAAACTCTCTTCCTGCTCTAGCCTCATCCTCAGTACAATCTGTCCTTTTACTTTTCTTGATTTAAAATTCCTTAAAATCAGACATACTGCATATGCAGGTAAATGAAGTCCTAAGTATATTCCACAAATCACTGAAAGAAAGCTAATATCTAAACTGTCAGTCTAATGGTTTTAGTCTAATGAAATTGTTAATGGAATTAAAAGTTATCAGACATGAAAACTGATCACATGCTATCACTCAGGAAAAAAATCCACCCATAATACTGGGCTTCATTTGATACTGTAGACATTGGTAAGAACATATAAAATTTAAAAGCAATTATTTCTTTGTGGTTTACTCCATAAATTAAACTGTACCTGGGGAGTCATTCAGGCTGAAGGCAATTCGTACTGGCTTATCAGCAGGTACCCTGGCGGTGGTGATCATGTGGGCACTTGAGTCAATGCTTTTACTTGTTTGTTCCAGCTGCAATAATACAAACAATATATTTATTACAGAGCACGTGACACCATTCAACAAATGAGTGTTAATGCTTTCCATGCACTCACAACTACCTTTCTCATTCTAGCTAAGCAACGTTTAGAATCAAAGTCAAGGGAGTGCCATTTCACTTTTCCATTTAAAAAGGATTTAAGTGAAATTCAGTGCAGAGGCTGCCTTTCTTTTGCTATTTACAGATTAGAAAGAACGATGGCAAAGGAAGCGTCCCCTCTCCTCACCTGCTTGCTCCCCGCCATTGCCCCTTCAGCGAGCCTTGACTCGTGGCAATGCTGCCTGGTTCTGAAGGTGAAGAAGGAAGAAGGGGTGGGGAGATGAGAGTAACATGACCCCAAGCCTGCCATGTGATTGGAAATGTGCACACCACTCCACATGGTGTCAATGAGGAGGGACCCATCCTCCTACCTTCCACCCATACTCCCCCAGTCAAACTCTGGCTGATAGTCACACACTTAATGGTCAGAAAGTTACTGGGTCTCCAAACCTTGGTGGTGATTCTTCAGTGGAACTCTGTGCAGGTGTAGGGGTCTGTCTGCATGGGTTTGACTCCCGAATTGGGACCTTATTCAGTCCTCGGTCTTTCTTCTGAGACCACCAACTCCAAAAAGTGGTTTTACTGAGATGAAACCCTGTCCATTAAGAAAACTGCTAGTTCATTTCAAGCAGGGCACTAAACAATTGTTGAGCAACAAAAGAATTAGCTACAACTGATCTGCAACGGTATAATTAAAGCATTTATGAACACTCAGATTTGTACTGGGAGCTTTACTATGTACATTTAACTTTTTGAATGAACAGTTTTGTTTAAACTCTATTAAATAGATGAATGCAAACTTAATCTCCCTGTATACCTAACACAAAGCTACTAAAATGCACAGATATTAAGCTGATTAGCTCCATGTGTGGAGAACATGAAGTCAGAGGGACTTCATGCATGCAAAAGATCTGCCCATAAAGAAATTATTTTAGGACTGAAGACTATGCTATCCAGAGTACGTTGTATCCATACCAAGTATGTGGACAACTATGAGAGGAACTTTTAAATTACCATGAAAACTCCTCAGTCAATTAGAAACCAAATTCTTCAGGAATATACAATGAATTTACTGAAAGTTGTACCACATGTCAGTAGACAGCACAGTATTTAGCTAGTGAAAAGAAAAGCCAGTTTCCTAAGCCAACAGTCTTGTGGTTTTTCAGTAAAGTAGCTATTGTATTGTATGGAAATCCCAACAACTCATTTGAATTTACACTTAATTGTATGGTAGTCTCTGAAAGTCAATAGAACAGAATAATATTTCAGGATGATAGTCTTCTTTGGTGATGCACATATGTATCAAACACTTCCTCGGCATCACTGCCTTGCAATCAGTGGAAGAGTATCAAATTTGCATTTGGCCCATTAATTTCAGCATTTCTTTTTTATTTGCTTTGTGTGTCTTAATATTTAGCTAGCAGAGTGATACAGTTACTCTGTAGCAATGCTACACAATAAATTGTTATTTGAAGTGCATAATCTTTTCTTAAAATAACAAGTATTCTAAAATCTTTACTTTGAATAAATCTTACTTGGAGCTGAGAATGTCTCTTTCTACTAATACATGAAGGATATCAGGGATTGTTCTTTATCTCCCATTACTAATAATCAAGACAAACAAAAACTGAAGTGACATCTATTGGGCAGAGGCAAAGAAAAGTCAACTAAACTGCCACAGTGTATGTTTTTGGACTCAGGAAAAGATCCCTGGAGTCAACTGAAATATTCTATTCTGACATGTGTTGCATTAGACTAAATAACTTTTATTGTCTGAGCATTATTGATCTCTTTTTTCCCCAGACCCTTACTGTATAAGAAACACCTGAGACATCTCATTGTTTTCAAAAAAACGACAGAACTACTAATCCCAAATTCTTTATCCTATTCCCCTTCCATAACCCCCAATACAAGGTAAAGCAGGAAAAAAAAAAAAAAAAAAAAGAAAAGATTTTAAGTGAGGAGACCGTCCTTGAAACAAGGCTGTTCATCACTCTGTGTTGGTGGTTACACGCTCCCCTGACATCTGCTTACTATCTCAAGTGGTCTTCCACAGAAGAGTATACTTAACATTTCATATCATAGCCTAAGCAATTAGAATGATGCATTTGGCTAGAGGTTTTCAGGTTGCCATAACAATATTGCTAGGAGTAAATCTGTTCTCTTTTCCCAGTTACATACTCTGTGGTCTGCGACATCTTTAAATTATCCTTTTTAACGACCTACTATGTGAGGGCAAAAATCAATACCACTTCAATAAGCAATGGTGAGTTCTATCATAACACAAAAGAGTGTTTTCATTTTATTCCAATCCACAAAAAGAAATCTCATCTTTATACCCAGCAATTACCCTGCTATCCATTTTTGCTATATTGCATTTATCTCTTCACTCCCTTTTTGTGCGGAATCCTCAAGCTCTTCTTCACAAAAAAGCCATCAAAGGGAACAGAGAGGGATGGAAACAGCCTGTGTGCAAATGAGGTGATGAAGGAAACACGCCGACCGACAGCCCCCAATTCCCCACCTGCTCTCTCCATGCATGAAGAACAGTATCTCTGTAGACAGAGATGAGGGTGAGTGGGCAACCTGGAATTTAATGAGATTTAATGAGCAGCTCCCTTCTTCATGGCAATTGCCCATAGAACTGGCTGCTGTTTCTCCATAAAAAATCTGCGGCAGCACTCAGATTAAGTGCGGTTATAGCTCTATCAATTTAGTTCAGTTTTCACACCTGTTGCCTTACCTCACTTAGCGGAGTGTCTGCACTTGTATAATCCAGGGCCAGCCACTGCCTTGGCTTGTCGTTGCCTTTATGGAGTAAAGCTTCAATAAAAGAAAAGGCTGCACCTGCTGCATAGCAACAAACTGACACGGTCTGAGAAGCTGAGACAGCTGTCAGGGCAACATGCTGCTACCTGCACTTCCCATAGGCTTTGCTGGCCCAAAAGATCACCCTTTTCTGCTTTTCTCCACAATTCTGCTTTTCCTTCCTCTCCTTGCCAGTGACGAGGGATTACGATGCCGTCATGCTTCAGGGAGGAAAAAATCCTGCTGTCACAGGCATTATTAAGCAGCAAACTGTGTCGAGCCCAAGATTTTTAATTCATTCGTCCTGGCAAACCTAAAATACAAACAGACTTGCTTCATAGGACAGGAATGTTTTCAGCATGACCCAATCAGTGTCTGTGTCTATTCCAGCAAACTGGCAAAGATAGCATGACTCCAGTCAGCAAAAATGTCTGCAGCTCCAATCAGCTTGGGCTGACACTGCCAGCTTGGACTGGCTACAAGCGGACTATCAAATGATAGCAGCGACTATCAAAGCTAACAACAAGGGATGGTCTTGGCATGTTAGGCTGGGTCTGTGTTGGCTTTGGTCAAGCCGGGCTTGTCTAATAGCAAACAATACCCCTGCGCTTCTGAGGAGGCAATGGGCAAATTTCAGAATGCATATGCTGTGAAAACAGATGTATTTATAGATGAGCTGGTGATGGCAGCGATAGCTGAAGCTGACTAAACCAGAGATTTGACTGAACTCAGAGGATTTCCTAGTGCGATTTCAGATAGCTTTTGTCAGTTTTGAAACCACAGGCAAACAGTTAATAGGTAAATCTTGAAGTATCACAAGAGAGAATAATTTCTTCAGCTTAAAGTTTTATTTTCTGTAGCTGTGTCATGCACATGTACTGCCTACATGACTTCTCTGATTGACTCCTATTGCAGTCATTAGGAAAAATGGAGAACAATTACAGAATGATTATACAGAATATCTTTATAGTTATTGCTCTGTGCTTGAAAAGGGGTTCTCCTTTTATATTTCAGATGTATTTTGAAGGTATATTTTATAGTTTAAAATTCCAAATAAAAAAGGTTTATCTAACCCAGCTCTCCTGTATAAGCACATTGCTAGATTCTCTTGGCTCAACTGAGATATAAAGAGGTTGCAGGAGAAAGAGACGTGAAGGTCTGAAGTCAAATTTTCATCCTTCCTCACCCTCTCACCTTCTGGCCCTAGCCCAGGATTGATTTAATCAGTGCAAATCTCAGGAAGCCAGCAGTTGCCCTTGTGGCCTCAAAAGACCTTTTTCATACTTCGAAATGACAAAACTGCAAGGATATTCTACCCACACTGCCCTTCCCCAGCAAAGACCCAGGAGGGTATCAGACAGCTACACCATTAGTCACGTACCTGGTGAGGCTGTCTTTTTCACAGCAGTGTGATTTCAGAGCAGACTATGAGCTCTGGCCCGAAGAGTTAGTGAAGACTGCGCCTCTGACTACACTCACCATTTTCGTTTCTCTTGAAGTGTTTCTGAAAAGAGGAAAGGTTCCTCCCTATACGTCTCATTTGGAAGAGGAGGGAGAGAGATTTGTCTCTGATCAGAACCATTATTGGAAATAGCATTCTACAGCTCCATACCATCAGCAGCTAATATTGATCTCCAGCTCCAGGTCCAATTACTGTGAAAGTATTTGAAGATACAGAAAATCCTGGCTCCAGTGAAGTCACTAAAAATATTGTCCTTCAGTTTCCATGGAGTCAGGGTTTCCCCCAGATCATAAGATCCTCTTCTGCTTTGTATGGGCAGGTGGTATTTAGATGGTATGAGTGCCTTCATTACATGCCATTACAATAAAGCCTAAAAAAGGTGCTCTACATAAAATCTTAAGACATGAAATATCTTCAGTAGCCATGACAGCAAGGGTCTTGGACAGAAATGGTGTCTGAAGAGCCCAGGGATGGTTTTTCCAGCTGGGTCTGACACTCCACATTTCCAGACTGACACTTCAGTTGTACTCAGTTTAACTATCATGTGCATTTGCAAATTGAGTTCATAATCATTTTATGTTTTGTATCCTTTGTATACACAATTTTTAAATGTCAGTGTTTCTACTTAAATCCGTACTGTTATACACACTTTACAAAAGACGGTGGAATCACCTGTACTTCACTTAATATGCACACTCCTAAGGGGTGTGCTGCTTCTGAGAGCTGTGAATCATGTGCTAAAATACCAAAACTGCACAAATCAAAAGGCCCCCGATTTGCATGTAAATATCAGTTCCGTGCTTTACATGACGATTAGTCACCTGAAACTATTATTTTATGGGAGTTAGCATATTTTTGAAACATGAGAATATTATAGCGTTCTGTATACAGAACATTAAATCTGAAACATCAGGACGAATGATTTGACTGTAACCGTTTTATCATGTATTTTATATTGGGGCTACAGGGCTAAAATTCCCAACAACATGAATTTAAACAGCACATTTTAAAAGGTTCTCTAAATTACTTTATAACAATAAATAAGGGAAGACCTCAGTTTTAAACAGAGGGGAAATTGAAGTCCAGGGTGCTTCATTTCCATGACTTGCTCAAATTAAGAGTCAAAAGCATTATGAATTTTGGGTAGAGATAAATCACCCTTCTCTTAATCACTAAGCAGGTGACTAAAACCTATGCATCTAAGAAAATTACTCTCCCATTTATTGCAACACAAAAAATACGTCTTTATAATAGGCTGCACATACACCTTACAGTCATCTCTGTGAAAATTTTCTGTGCAGGAGCCCTGTTTCCTTTCCAGCATACTCTTAGTCATCAGATGTCTGGTACCCAAGCAAAATTCTTTCAATCCTGTATCACATTATGAAACTGGTGATATGATAGAAGAGGTTATAATGTTTTATTCATCAAAAACACCTTATAGGAACATACTCTAAATTAGGAACACTGGGACTTACTGATATTCAGTAGTAGAAACATGCAAATTTGTAACAATTTTTAAGATGAAGTATCAGTTATTCTACAGATGTAAAAAAAGCCAGTATCTGCTATCTAATAAAACACCTGTTGCCTTCCCTTTTTTTAATTGTGCTACTTTCAATTCATCTGTTTCCCAGTATAAGCAGTATTTTAGTAGCATATGACCTCATTCATGCTAAAATGGGGTTTCACAGATTGCCAGTCACTATTTAAAAATACACTTTAAATATTCTAGCATATGGAAGATGTTCCAAGAAGAAATTAAAAAAAAAAAATAAATACAACAAAATGAAAATGCTTTGCTTAAAACAACACACAGAGCAACATCTTCGTTCCATACATTCCTCTGAGTAGAAACAGAATCCCATTTTTCACAATTTCTGATTAACTTATTTCTGCAGCGAAATTTGTTAAAAATACCACTGTAGGAGGGATTCAGTCCCCTTTACTGACACTGGGGCTAATCAGGGTGAAGCTGCTTTGTGCTATAGAGAATTGATTTTGAAAGAATAAAAATTGGTGAGTCATGCCCTTTAACTCCACATTACCTGCAGAATTTCCAAAACCACTTGGATTGCATGGCTCAGAATTTGCCAAATATTAAGTTGACCTGATCTCTTTTTGCAGTTCATAAGGATAACCATTTCAAGTCTGCATGGCACTGGGTAGGGAAGTATTTTTTACTACAGCAGCAGTTATCCTAGGTGAGATCAGAACATCTGATATGATGTAATAAAATCACAATTCTCCCAGCCAGAAATCCAGAACCAAAGATTATTTCTTTCTTGGCTTTTGGACAATGGAAAGGTATGGGTCAAATATACATTATTTAGTCGTGTTGTACCTCATGCACAACCTAACATCCCAAGTCCTGACAACTGAAGCAGCCAACAGAGCGCTTCATTACTGTTCTTTGATACTACCTCCAGTCTCCTTGCCTAGGTAGTATTTTAACACAAGTAAAATGATATACTTTCCCCCAAGCTCTACACTCATAAATGGCTGAACAATATCAGATTGAATTAAGTCATTAAAAACAGCATGAAACCTACATTGAGCATTGATTTAAAAAACAGCACATATAAGAAACTTTTATAATTAATGGAAAATTGATATGCAACAGCTGAATTCACTTATATAAGATTATACAGATCTAATGAAGGAGATTGTCACAGAGAAATTAAAAAATTGGCTCAGTCAAGGTAATGTGGAGTTACAGGAGTTGACTCAACAATTTTACACCTGCCTTAAGACCATCTGGAAATAACTGCATCTTAAATAATCTGAAAACCTGACTGATGAAAAACTCCATCGCTTCCACAGCAAACTCTAGACAGAAACTGTGGGAAGTTAATTCTGCTGAGAGGAATAAAACTGAGGTTTTTGAGATATGATGCTGCCAAAGATCCTTGCATATCTCTTGCATGGAAAATAAGATGAAAGCTGAAGTTAGAAATATTATTGGAAAAGCCTCATTATTGTCAGAAATCAACAGGTGCAAACTTATACGCTTCACTCACATCAGCATAGAGATAAAAATAACCTTTAGAAACTAACTATGGGAAGAATGAAGGTGGGCCATCTCAAGAGGGAATGATGAAGGAGGATATGGGTAGATAGAGTGCAGCAATTCACCTGGAGTTCAGCAGCCAAACGTTCAAAGCTAGCACTGGCTAATTGGAAACACCAGCACCTTCTCGCAAGCACTTAAACACAAATGCATCCATTTTGCTTACCAACCATGCCATTAAACCACATCCAACTGTCCTAGGATAGAAAGATAATTCTCTCATATCCGTGTAGAAGCAGAGTAATCACTCAATTTGAACTGGTCTTGACATTCCTTAAGGGAATGCTTAGCTTACCCTACTTAAGAACTTACCTGAAAATAATACTATGAGACATTACAGCCTCACTTGTTGATGATGGCTGAGGTCATCATGCTCTCATGGATACAGGTACAAGACTTTCAAGTCAACACACTCTTTCATGAAGCTTTGCTGCTCTAAGGAAGAAATCAGCATCCAGAAGAAT